CTTGCTGCAGAAGCGCAGCCGGCCAGAGGTGAGCGGGCCCCGCGGGTCCCCGGGGCGCAGGGTGCGGAGCCAGGACTCCGCCGCACCGCTTGCTGCAGGACCTCCTCCGTCTGTGGCCCTGTCCCCGGGGAGGGCCTGCCCTCAGGGGTCCTGTTGCCAGCGTGAAGGCCGCGGTGGCCAGCAGCCTGTGCGGAGTTTCGGGTGCGGCGGGTGGTTGCCCCCAGCAGCTCTTCTGGTAGGAATCAGAAGAGGCCGAGGCCTGGACAGAGTGCTTATTAAGGTCAAAGAAAACTTCTTCGTGGACGGAAGTCAGGGTAACAGAAAGACTTTAAGGAGCAGATCCAAGAGTAGGTCTGATTCCTTGGTGTTGAAATGCTTGTGTCTGGTCGGCAGAAAGGGTTGTAAAAGCCACCTCTGGCTCTAAAGTGCTCTCTCACTGTCTCTCTGCATTTAGGCAGGATCCCTTGTGTTAGTGTGCAAATACGGCAGCCTGTGTGTATTTGCGAGTGGACAAGGAATGCGAGGATTTTGGAGGTAATTCTGCCCTCCGGATTCTTGTGATGACCTGTAAATGCCTGTTAGCCTCTATCCTCAAACATGCCCACAGGGGAGGTTGATCATTTTCTTCTTATTTCTCATAGCTCTGGGTGTGGGTTGGACCAGCAAGATAAGGTTGCAGCTCAGGGCCTCAGGCAGGGGTGAAGCCACCAGAACGCTCCCTCACTCCCTCACTCATCTGGAGGGGGAGGCGAGCTCTCCTTTGGAGCCATCAGCCAGAAGACATGCCAGTGGCCCTTCCATGTGGCCTGGTGTTCCTCACAGCATGGTGGCCAGGTACCAGCGAATGCCAAGAGGGAGGGAGAGAGAGAGAGAGAGAGAGAGAGGGCATCCAACTGTGTGCAGTCTCTTTTTCTGTCTGCCCCTTCACTCAGCATAACCTGAGCCCATCTCTAATTCCATGACCAAATCTTGTATAAAGCTTATGGGCAGGTTGAGAGATTGTCTGCCTTTTTGAAAAGAGGCCCTATCACTACAAGACTTATGTTGTGGGTGCACCGTCTGAGTAAACAGCAGTTTTCGTGGAACTGTGAGTTTATCCTAAAATATTGGATACAGTCTGTGGGTTAACCCATTTGTTTTGTTGTCATTAAAGGATTTGAAAAAGCTGAAATAATAAAACTTACTAAATCCCTGAATGAAATTAGTATCCAGATCTGCCAAGGTGTGGACACAGAGGGAGAACCTCCAAGTGGTGACGGGTGGCTTGACCCCACGAACCTGCTGATTCTTATTTCTTGAGGTTCACCTTCCCTTTGGGGTTCTTACCAGTCTTCGCTGTCAACACTAGGCTCTGCCTCTTACCTTGCTGTCTGGCCTTGGGCAAGCTGCTGAAGCTCTCTGTGCCTTAGGTTTCTCTTCTCTGTAAAATGGACTTGCTTGGAGGGTTGTGGTGACATTTACCTGAGGTGATGCTTGTCAGGCACTTCAAACTGCAGTGGGACATTGAACTGCACTGGGACGTCCAACATCTCTCTCAGAGCTGCCAGTTCAGTAGCAGTCAACACTTTTTTCTATCCTGGCAAGAAGCAGGAAAACGTGTGCGGAAACGGAAGTTATTGGCTTTAATGGAATTCAATTGTGTCGCTGAAGGCGTCATTTAAGGGGATTGCTTTGTGTAAAAGTTCTAAAGACTTAAAACTCAAAGTTTCACTTTTGACCATAGTCCACATTTAATATTGAAAAAGTATTGTCAAATGATAACTGCAGTAGGTTTAAACTGTAGCCTGTCCCCCACAGTTAAGTATAGTTCCTTAGAGAAACTAATTTTATAAGCTCTCTCTGGCCTTATTCTTTACATTAGTAACCATTAGTACACATAAAATTGATTGGAAAATTCCTAATACTACTTTTCTCTTCAGTCTTATTTGAAGCATCACTTTTCCGATGATCTGCCATTAAATAGGTGGAGAATCCCTGAAAATTCACTCAGGCCCATCCCACATCGAAAAATGAACTAACAAATAAGTCAGGCCCGGGTGAGCTTCCACTAAGAAGACCTGTCTATTGATTCCCAGGCTATCAGATGCAGCATTACTCCACACTGGTTATCATTCATCCTGGCCTACTATGTGCAGGCCTGGTGCTGGGGCTAAGAAGTAAAGTGAGGACACAGAGGCAGGTGTAAGGTGTTGTGAAGCTGACAGAAAGGATAATAGGAAATAAAGTGTAATTTTCAAATTATTTTGTCCTCTCCCCACTTTCCCAGTAGAAGGTGTGGTCTCAGCCTGTGTGACTCTTCCCCTCCAGGAACTTTGTGACTGCCTCTCAAAACTAAAAGACTCGGTATACCTTGCAGCTAAGAATGTGGTGTCTTTGTGACCACTTGGAGGCTAAGTATAGTAAAGTGTTATCGTGTAAAGTCTAGTCAATATTTTAAATTAGAGAAGATAACCTTTTCTAACTCATTTGTTCTCTGACACTGAATTAGATATTCCAGGTCAAAATCAATTCCCTTAAATCAGAGTTTTTCCTGACCTTGGCATTATTGACATTTTGAGTCTGGTAATTCTTTGTAGGAAAAGCAATACCTGCCCCCCTCCCCAGTTGCAACAACAAAAATGTCTTGAGACATTGCCAAATGTACCCTGGAGCAAGCAAAACGAAGTCAATTGACATTTCATTGATGTAGAGATTTTCCCTAAGCAGTGACTTGCTCAAAACTTTCAGTGTTGCTAAAAAAGGAGGACTCTGGGTGTGGGGTATGGAAAGGCAAGAGTAAATAACCGAATTTCCAAAAGCAGCTAGGGGAGGGGAAGTGAACCCAGGGGTGGGGCACAGGAAGAAAAGCTCTGAATTAAGGAACCAGAATACAACTTTCATAACAAGGAATTTTCTGATTCTTCACTTTTTCTTTTCTCCTTCACATGAACAAATACATATATATGTTTTTGCTCAAAAGTCACCTTTCCTGCAAGGCCTTTTCTGGACACCCTATTTAAAATCACAAGCCCCCTTGCCCCGTTTCTGCCTTATTTTTCTCCGTAGCACATATCACCTTTGGATATTCTGTTTAACATATGCATTGTGTAGTAGTTGAATCTGCCCACTGGAATGCCCACTTTGTGAACACGGAGTCTCGTCTCTTACTCATTGCTGTATCCCAAGCATCTGCATAGATTTTCCTTAGATGGGTACTAGTCCTCTCACAGGGATTCCAGCTCCCACGGGCTCAGCTTGCCCAAGTTGTGTGGAGAAAAAGCCCTTCTGAGGCGTGGGCTGCAGGTGAGGAGATGACTTGGGAGCAGAGAGTGCCCTGCGGTTCTGATAGGAATGAACTTCCATTGATACCCTGGTGTGTCCCTCACAGAAAGGCTACCTCTGTGCTGTGCGCTTTGGGAGGTGCGTTCTCTCCTTCAACCCTCACAAACTCTGAAATCCATGCTCTTAATTTAAGTCCTAGAGTTTGAAGCTTACTAGTCCTTTAACTTCAGACAAATTTCTAAACCATTTCACACAAAATGGGGATGAGGATTTTACGAAAGGTGCATGTACACAGTCCAGGCGCCGGTTTAATGGAAATACCTGGCTTTGCAGTCCTGTGTTTCTGTCTGTGTGGAGCTACTTGAGTTTCCCCTTTCCCTTCAGTGGAAGGAGAAGCCTTTGCCTGTGTACATAGTACACTGGATAGATAAAGCGCTTTGGAAAAGGACCTTTAGAGACTTGGCCTTTGGATTGAAGTATGTGTTCTCAAATGGATTTACTGCCTGAGAAACGATGTGCCTAGTTAATGTATAATTTTAAGACAGTACTTGCCAGAAAGTCCTGGCTCTTAGGTCTTCCTCTCCTTCTAACTCTTTTCCCCAGATCTTAGTCTTTTGTGGTTAAACAGTGATAACCTCTTTCTAGTGCCTTGAAGCGCTCTTGGTGTTATTAAAGTGTGTCTTGTGTTTTGTTTTGTTTTTCGAAAGTGAAATAGTATATCGATGGGGCAAAGAGTGGGACGTTTGCATGCCCCTGGGAGGCTGGCAATTGTGGGGCAGTGCCCTCTTTCGTGACCGCTCACCTTCTTGGTCTGGGCCTTCTCCTGTCTGTTCGCCAACTGTGGAGTTGGCGAAGAGCCTAAGAGTAGGCCAAACTATATTTGTTCTTTCCTTTGTTCACTGTCACTCCTTTGTAATTTGATTGTTTGAATGAGAAAACCAACTTTAATTGCCCCTGCTTTATTCACTCCCCCACCCCCTACCCACACCCCTAAGTTTGTTTTTTATCTCTTTTTTTAATCCCTACTTCCTTTGAGCAACTACCTCTGCCCTTTGAACCTTGTTGCAGATGTTTCCTCCAGAGAGGGTTTCAGAGCAGCAGGCTTGCCACTCCAGCAGTTTGTAGGATTAAAGGCCAAGAGGTTGCAGAGCAAAGGCCAGACGTGCACTCATGTTTTCTCCTCGGTTTCTGCTGAATCTGAGCAGTCATCTTTAAGCAGAGTCACGCCCACCTTGCCTGTCATTGGTGTGGGGCAGGCCCACCATAGCACTGGGGTTTCCCATGTCCACTGGAGATAAGGGTGGCGGTTTTGAAGTTGTGAAGGGAACTCTGCAAAATGAAGTCCAATACCTTTGGCTTTTACTGTTTGTCAATATTGCTCATCACTTACCAGTTACATGGTGATGGTAGTGGCAAAACTGAAAAAACAGCAGCACATGCCTTGGTAGCCATGCATGTCATCAGTGAATGTTGAACAGGCTCCTGTTAGAGCCAGGTACTGTTCTGGGTGCCTGGGTCCTTGAGTGAAGACAACAGACAGAGAGCTCTGCCTGTGTGGGACTTACATTCCATCTTGGGGAGACACAATAAACAGAATAAACAAGTAAAACGTACAGAGCATGTTGGAATGTATTACCAGCTATGCAAAGAGGACAAGTTAGAGGAGATCAAGGAGCTAGGACAAGTTGTCGATCTAGGCAAGTTAGTTATCCTGAATCACAGGCAAATACCTTCCCCTTTCTCCTAAACCCAGTCTCTGCCAGTTGT